ACAATTCTGGGGTGGATTATAGACTGCATATATCTTGAAGTGGTTTTGACATTTCCAAACATTTAATCTGATTATTTCACATTTGCCTTGTGTCGAGCCCATACTCTTGATTAGATCGTAGTGTGAGGTGAGGCCTTCTTTAACTCCAGTTAGAATTCCACTTGCAACTTGTCGGTATTTAGGTAGATTGACGTTGTGATTCGCCCTGAGGGCGATTTTTCTTATAGCCTTTTTTTAAAGCTAATCATAATAAATCGAAGTCAAAAACGAATGCCGAGTGATAGACTTTTTTGCCGTAAGAAAATACGTTGTCCAGGGTGCACCACGTGGAGGTAAGTCTATCGCGCACCCCTCGAGTATTATCATCTATTACAGCTTCTTTATTACCTTTCTCTAGCCTACCACCAAATGAAATGATGTTTATAATGTAAAAGGCCTTCAAACCACTCCGACTACAACAAGTTTCCTGGTCTCTTGAGTTCTTAATTTCGTCTGCACAAGGCCTACCAACTTCAGAGTAATAGGTAAATTTGAGCAAGATCCATCCGACATATGGCTGCTTGGGGGTTATTCCAGGGGATTAAAAGTGTATCGTTGGGAAAACATTTGAGTAATATCTAATTAAACGATAAAAGAATATTACTAAGTACACATTCCATTTCCAAGTTTAAAACGTATTGCCTGAAGAATTTTGAACAGACAAAAAAATTTACTCATGCAACAGCATATTCATTAATGCTAAAGTACACTGAAGTTCAGCAAATTCCCAGGCTGGCATTGAGCAGGGAACAGTACTTTCAGGAGATTAAATTGCGTCGATCTTGGCATCCACTGGATACGAACAAGCAAATGAATAAGCTAATGCATTCCTGACGACCGTGTGCTAACCGCTACGCCATGGGCTACCTGATTACACGAATATAGCCAATTTTATGTAAAAAATAAGCGGAATAATGATTATTAGATGAAAAAAAACAAAAAAAAGATTTGCCAGTATATTAAGAGATGGTTCTGGAGAAATGTTAAATTAATATTGAAATAGAACAGAAAATACATGAATGATCACTGAGGAATTGTGCTTCAAAACTCGATCAATTTTCTTACTTAGGGAGCTAAACAATAATTTGGTCTAAAAATTTTAAATAAACCGAAATAAATGAGTTAGATAAACGACAATCTTCTTGAATTCAAAAATACTCATCTTGAAAGCTTTATAGAATTTGCTATTGCAATGTTACTTCGGAAAAAAACAATGTAGTTTTAGGACCCGGAACAATCAATCCCGCAGAAAAAAGTGGCCAAGATCATTTTGAGTAGATTAGAGAAAAATGTTCAAAAATTGAAGTCGAAATTCAAAGACAAGCATCCTTTTTCGAAAAGTACAAGTATAAGTGAACCTTTTGTCGACTTAAGTGATAAATGAAGGTCAAAATAATACCACACCACAAAAACATCAGAAAAGCCAAACGAAATCATAGATCAGCTAGTATCTTGAAACGCTAAAAACATAGAAAATGATCAATGAATAATGAACCATAGATAAAGCACAAACATTGTAGTTTTTCCTAATAATACGTTAATGTTAACGTGTATCACGCCACAAAGAACGGTGCAAACCTGTGCAATTTGAAGGACAAATAACAAATGTATTGAGCAGGGAATTGGTAATATCGTTCAATATCAGATTAAAATAACGACCGAAACAATAGCATCAAGCTGGTGAAAATCTACCAAATCACATAGGAGAAACAGTACCATAAATTCTGGTTATCTTTTATCAACTCAAAGGTACAAATCAATCGAATACCTTTGCCGTAAATTCAATCAGATTCGCGGACTTACTGGTCATAGGATGATGATTGATGTAGGCTGCTGAGTTTATAAGAAATGTTCCCATATTCCTGAAGGGGATAACACATTTCGATTGTCCGTCGATAGAACAGTTGGAAGCATCGACGCCATTGAAAATGTGATCTAACAGAGAAGCAGAGACTCATAAAAACCGTCAAGGCAGACATGAGAGGGGAGGCAATAATTACACAAGGAAGATAAAGGTCATTGTCCTTTTTTAGAGCAAATAAAACTCCCGAAGTGATAATCAATAAAAGGGAAATGGCATAGCCAACACTAATACAAAATGATTGCTGGCGATAATCCTGAAGCCTATTAGCACATATGAAACGAGAAATTGACATAATTATTTCAATTATTTCCAGAGTGAAGAAAAATCCGAGAGAAATCCAATTGGGTAGAAAAACAAGCTTCCAACTCCAGTCTATAATTACCTCCATTCTTAGAGCAATGAAGATAAAAAATAAGATATTAGAAGAGACAATAAAATGAAGATCGCCGTCGAAATCATTTTTGATTATCCAAAAGCTGACAAATATTCCAACAATACTAAGTATTATCAAAGGGATGAAGACGGATATCCAACCGTTTTCATTGTAATGAGCATTTTCAAGTCGATTGCATGCCAAAATTTCGAAAAATAGAAGATTGATATGAAAAAACGCATCAAAGAAAGCATTTTTGAAATGAGCCTGGGTTTCAATGTAATAGCGAGGGCTGCGACAGAAAGCAAATATTTCAAATAAAAACCCACCAAATATGACGGATTGCCATAGCCAGAGGGGAAAGAAAACGACCCAATATGGCCAATAAATAAAGTCATCAAGTCGCAAAGCCAGAAGTGTAATAAACATAAACACAAGAGACAATGCGAAGAATTGCCTTCGGTTGAAATTATCACAGAAATATATCGGCTCCATTATCATGTAGATGGTAACAGTTTCGAAGACTCTTAGTGTAGTATTTAAATCAAACTACACAAGTAAATGGTAGAGATATCAATAAAAATTGATTTCGCGGACTGGGGAGCATTGCGATATCATCTAGCGGCTTAGGAAAAATTTTGAAGATTAGCAAAAGACTGAGTGAACTCAAACATAAAATAAAATTAAAAATAGAGTTAATTAAAGATTCTTTTTAATTTACCAGTATATTTATTGCACATGGGTGCTGATATCAATGGACGAAAGAAAAGATTAAAAAATAATGAAAAAACAATGGAAAAATTGTAATCAATTTGAAGTTTGGTTTAATTAATTACCTTATGTAATCCGTTAAGGAAAATCGAGTCTGAGTTATTTGTGCGTTTAATTTGATATTAACTCTTATCTCTTATTTCTATTAGAACTTATTACAGCATCATGTATATTTGTGAAATTACATTAAGCGTAGAAGCACTTGGGTGGTTTGCCGAACTGGAATATTAATATAGATAAAATGACGGAAAGAATAAAGTTTAAGGGTTGATTTATTCGGTGCCTACGCAAATGAGACTTCGCTTTATTATTCACAAACACAATATAATTGATATTGTGTTATATTATACTGACACCTAATTGTTAACGAAATTCTTCTGGAGGATTACGAAAGAGCTTATAAATACACAACGGCCTTTTTCAAGTTTTTCATTCTGCGGTTTCTAAGCTCCTAGTACCACATTACAAAAGGATTAACCTTGTCTGACGTGTCATCGATGAACTGTTGCACTTAACTAATAGCCATCGCAACTGCCTTAAACGGCGGTCAGCAAAAATTGCAAATTTTTGACCTTCCTTGTACACCGTCGAAAGATATTGCTCAAAAGTTCTGTAACGTGCTTTTGTGATGGTCGTTTAGGGAGAAACATAACCAAGAGGTCTTTTTGCAGATTCTTTTCTCTATTTTAGTACAGAACTATCAGCAATTTAAAAGAAGCATTTAAAGAATTTCAAATTTCACAAAAATTGGAAACACCATCTTTCCCTCAGAAATGTTTAGCAAAAAGGAGATTTTTCAAGAGGACAAGCACTACATACAAGTTTTTTCTTCCAAAAAAGAATATTTTAAACAAAAATTTCAGACGAGTTTCACGAAAACCAAACTAGAGATAAAAGACATCTTTTAGACCGGCTTTTTCTGCAATTTTCATGGATCATCCTCGAGATAGATATCGATATTGAAAAACTTCGAACTTAATCATGATAATGTAATGAAATCATAAGTTAAATAATATGAAACACTTAAAATTTAATGCAAATATATACTTGCTATCGTATTTAACAACATGTAAAAGGGTGTAATTTGGACAGTTACCAGTAAAGTAAGCCCAACTCACTGAGCAAGTATTTTTAGCTCTAATCCCTCTACAAACAGTACTAGTTCCACATATTTCAAAAAGAATATTAATCTTTTTTCATAACAGATTGAGCATTAAACTAATTTGAGCGCGTACTATATAATTAGCACAAATATGATTATTATATTACGTTAAATTAAAAATATCGACCAACGCAAATGTGATAGTCAGTTGGCAATTCAACTTTTACAGCTTTCCACATCGACTTCAAAATCACCTTCTTAAAAAAACGTCGAATTTCATATGTGGTTTGATAACCTTTTACATTAAGAAATGCCTTCGCAAACCTCTCCGGTTTCGAGATCTAATCAAGATGAAGACAATGTCACTCAGCCACTTTCTAAAATTATGTGTAATTGTGAACTCTGTTATGCTCGACTTAGCTCTTCTACTAGGCAAGCTACCGAAGAAGATACCATTAACTACCCAGATCTGTTCGATCCCTTTCATTATTCATCTAACCTAATGCCGAACTATCTCCAGTTTGATTATATCATACCATTTACTCCTGCTTATGGAGATACCGATGTAGTTTTTCCTAAAAATCTGAAAGAAAGCTCTACCCCTGAAGTGCTTCAAATTGAAGATGACGCCATAGCAACTGCCGGTCCCCACCTCTATCTATCGAAAGAATCCATTATTCATTTAAAGCTGTCAACCTACGTGGTTCTAGAGAGATCAGAGAATGCTGTGCGTCTAATAAATTATCGTAATAACTCAGCCTTAGCACTAAGTGAGAATGGAAAATATGGGTTTATTTACCACTTCAACTGTCGTGGCTTAATAAACATCCACCACGAGAAATTGGCAATAACTTTTAACAAAGACAGACAAATACTACTAAGATCAACAAAACCAAGTTTTGTTAAGAAAGAGAATGAGTTCTATCGATTGACTAAACGTCACTGGATCCAATGTAGGCCAGTTGAGATGGACGCATTTGAACAGGATCGAACACCGGAGATTTTGGAGAAGTCCGGATTGGAAAAATCAGAACAGAAATCAAAACTATTGAACATAATAAACTCCTCAACAATGAAGAAGACTCCTGGAGGACTTATGAGTAAGCTTACATAATTACAAAACCATTAAGATGCTTAGCAATTTTTTAGTTCAGTTGGGTAATTCTCGACTTGAACATAGCTTGAATGGAGACGTCAGTCTTTCATGGATGTATGGGGAACAGCTCTTTTCCCTCACTGTCTCCCCACTTACCGGGGGTTTGAGTCTGTCTGCCAGAAATTTGGAGATCAGTATTACTGCAAAGAATGACATCTACATTACGTTCGCTGATTTCTTTGCTTACACAAGGTAAATTAGGCGAAAATGACTTGTTTTCAATTCCACAATACTGATATTATGTACTATTTAAGCTAAATTTATTTGGGCATAATAATCCACTTCAGTTCATACCACGGACACAGATCAAACTAACCTATTTTGCTTCTCCTTCTGAGTTTGAGTGATGATAAATCTTTACTTATGACTATTTTGAATCCTTTCTTTTAAAACGCTTTATGGACTAATTAACAATTCGATAATTTTGACTGGAGGCTAAGATTTGGTAGTTTGTCCCACAAGTTTACTGGTGAAGAATATCGAGAATACCGCTTCAAGGAATAAAAAAAGCATTTTTTCAAAATAGCATTGTTTATTATTTATAGTTCTTTTGATAGCTTAAAAAGTCGTTTTAAGATACTACACACCAGATCACATTTAATTCTATATTTCATTTAAACCTCATTGGGATAGACAAATGAGACACACTTGAAAAGACTCATCATAAGCTCCGACCTAGTGGTTACAATACATGTTTTTTAACCTTTTATTACCTACAGTAAGGCAGAATGTATACCGATTTTTGTCTGTATGAAGCAATGCACATCGAATAGTACAAACTTTTCACCTGATTCTTCGACTCGTGTTTCAAAATATTTGGTTAAATTAGCAGTCAGCGGTTCAAGATTGAGATTTCACAAATCCTCGCCCGAATTGTAAAAAATACTTGTTTACAATGCTCACGGCTTATTGATCAATATATTTTGACCGAGAGAGGTCGGCCTTGTCATTTCAGTTCAATTTTTACGTATGATTGAGAAGACAAACTGGTCTTGTATTCCGTTCATCGGTTCACAATTTCAATATGAATAAAGTGTAAGTTATTGATCAAGCGTGCTCGGTTTCAATTGCTATGTTTATTGAAATATTTAGTCGATAGGGTTAATGGAAGTATAATTTTCCTCAATTTAAGTTCATAATAGGATGATGTTTTGTGTACTATTCTTAATAAGTAAATTGCATTCATTTAAGTTAAAACTTTTTGAGGCATTAAGAATCAAAGCATCGTTCTCAAACGAGGTTTAATAATTGGCAATTCGGTTGATAAGCCTTATCGATGCCTATTCGAAGAGGTTTATTGAAATGCATTAAAAATATAATAATTAATAGCATTTCATATTAAGAGAATAAGAAATGTGATTTTAAGAGACTCTGTCATGTTTATCATTTTAAATTAGTTTCGCACTTCTAATTTTGAAGATGTTTAAAATCTTCCTCTTTGCAATATTTATTTAATCAAAATAAGACGAAAGATTAGTACATTTGCATTAAATTTATGACCTTAATTGATCCTACTTTCTGAATTTGCCCTTTTAGCCTAAAACAGGTCACATTCCCATTTAATCACCAACCCTTAGGTCTAGAATTCAGCCTTACCTATTAACATTTTGTTTTAATTTTGTACTATTTTATGCAGAAAATAGAAACAGAACACATGAGCAGATTTTTAATTCATTGTGATTTATTTTTTAAATAAATAATTTAGTTCTCGCCAAATGACTGTGAGCACCGGAGCCTTAACTAGCCGATTATATGGAACCAAACAGCATCCATGTGTTTTGAAACTTGTAACCAATAATCTGGATGACCGGGATTTGCCCCAATACTGTCAGCACGCTAGTCAAACCCATAATGTTTCAAACAAACATCGTGGAAATGGACGTTTTAAGAATAGAAAATATAAGAATACTCATCAGAAGGAAACTCCAACTGTTGCCCAGAGTGACATCACGGAAACAGAGGATCTAAATCCACAAACAATGTCCGAAAGCAGCTGTGAACATGACCCACAATCGTCGGAAAAGTCGTCTTTCTCTCAAACAACGGAAAACAATCTTTGAACCAATTAACGCGTGTATTTACTATGAAATCTACTGTTTCCATCAATAACTTGTGTCTGTTAAATATACAGCAACACTGTATAAATATATTCAGAATGCGTTCTAGCCTACACTTCTGTCTCTTTCCTCGATATTCTATTATTATCAGAGGATTTATTTTGCGTTAATAGGAAGAAAAATGTCCGAAATTGTTGGGCATTTTTGGTGCTAGTACTGGCATTTCCTTCGCCAATGTAGCAATATTAATCGCACATAGTTATTTTTGATGGAGTATCAAATAATTTAAGCTAATATATGAGAATAAGTGTAACATCACGAGAAAGTTTTGTTAATCATTGCGAATTGTTTTTGCGTAATGTGTAAAGTACGTTTCGCGGTGTGTCCATCTTTGGACAGTATTAAAAATTAAGATTTGTAAAAACTAATTTCTGCTAAACTTAGACACATACAATACGACTAGAAGAGGGAACAAGTAAATTTTTGACGTCAACATGATAGGGTTTTGAAAAATCCTCAACCCCACTCCCCCCCTTCCGCCGCCCCGGCCTGCATCTCATTGAAAACATTGAACGCTTCATTTATGTCAACCCGATACTCTGATTGATTTCGTCTCTGCAATATTTCTTTCTAAATGGTTCTATAAAGAATATTACACATTTTAAGTAGTTCACTTCTTGCCCCTCATTTAACTTCTAGGGACTGATACACTAATAAGCCTTGACTATACTCATAAATCTCTCTGGCAGATTCTCCTATGCTTGGAAGGGTTCCAAGGATTGCCTATGCTACCGTAAAGCTGTAGAGAAAACAGACTTTCGGCGTGGAGCATATTTATTTGGGACTGTCCGATTACAGACGAGACACGTAGTCATAAAATACACGTTCTGGCATGCTAACCACTTAATGACTTGGGCCATCGATTGGTCGAGAGGTCCCTGGCCTAGGTATGATGACAGTGTACTGGTTTTTTGTCTATTTCTTGGACAGATAACCACGCACTGGCTTTAACCGTTGTTTAGTCGGGAGGATATGGACATGTTCCCCACAAACTCAGGTGAGACGAGGTCATAGAAAGGGAAAATTACATAAAAGAGTTCCTTCTGCAAGCGCATATTTACACAAAGGAAAGATTATTTATTTATTTATCTCAAATGGCAGGCATTTTGATAGTTGTCATTAGCCCTTTCACTGAATTCGGGCTTTACAGGGGGAAGGAACATCAAAGTAACAGGAAGTCGAGGGGTGGGGAACAGAAGAGTGATTTTCAGATGCAAAAGAGACAGACACAAAGGCAGTGAAAAGGTAGGATGAGTACTGTGAAAGGGGTAGAATATGACATACAGTGGGGTGATGGTAGTTTGAAGTCAGAAGTCAACTGCCAGTTAATAGACTTTTTGCCGTATGAGTATACGTTGCCCAGAGTGCACCACGTGGAGGTAAGTCTATCGCACACCCCATGGAAAGATTGTTATGAGCAATTAAATTATTGAAAATTGTCTTCTTATTGATTGAATTTGAACTCATGCTTTTGTTGTGACTTTTAATGAGCTTATGAGCGGAATAATATACCAATAACGTTTGATGAAATAGTTCCATAAATAATTACAAAAATAGATAAACTAAATTCCACTTCTGCGCTTTTAATTAAATAGACGTGAATTTCAATGGACATAATCTATTAATCTTTTGTGTTTCCACAATTCAATACCATCCACTTTGAATT